AATAGTCACAGATACAATGCAAAAAGACAAAAGAACTAGTAACCTTACGTCACCTACTGGTCGAATTCTACGATAATTACTATGAGAGCATTTAAAAACATTAAAATCATTCCGTTTAGATTATATGAACTCATAATTAGGTAAAGAACTACGATAGCTATCTTGTTATGATTTGCTTTTATCTAAAGCGAATTTCGAAATTTGTAAACTGTACACTCTTTTTTAGTGAAATAAACTTAAACAAATAATAGAGCAGCTTTCCTACTATACAAATGATCACTATTATCATTACATTTCTAATTTAATTTTTTTTTATACTGTGAGAATTATCTCTTGTTAGTTATTGAAAGATTAAAACGAATAAACAATAAAATGGAAAAATATTATTTTCTTTAGATGGTCAAATCTATGTTGGAGGATACGGTCAAACAACTCCAGCTCAGGCAGTATTAACTATGAATGAACATTTGGGTCCATATTATTTATTTTGTGAAGTATATGGTAAAACAGATCAAATTGAAATAGTTGATGAAACAACATTACCAGATCAAACATTAGTGAATGATAGTTTTTTAATGTCAATGCATGGTAATGTTATTGATTTAGTTAATAAAAAATTGAACGGTAATAATAATCTTACTCAACTTCAACATTTTAATTATTTATATCCATCAAATACTCAACATACATTAACATTTCTGCCAACAACGAACCATAATATTGTTTTAACAAATAATAATCGTATTGTATGTGTTAATAATCTTAAAATAAAATCAAGTTATGCTTTTATAAGTACGCCAATAAAAGTAAATGATATTTTAATATGTAAAGTAATGGATTGTGATACAAATATATCATCAATACTTTTATTTGGTTTAACAACATGTAATCCAACATCATTACAAAATCAAACTTTACCTGAAGATACTGTAACACTTATAGAACAATATTCATCATCAAAATGGTTTGTTGATACTGATATAAATGCAAATATATCAATGTATGATGAACTTGCATTTTGGTTTGATTCAAATGGTCATATATATCTTTCCATTAATAATCGTTCACCCATACAACTTAAAAATCAAATACTATCATCTGATACAACGAATTTAGTTTTATATCCATTTTTCGATTTATATGGACAAATAACTTCACTTTGTTTATACAATTTAAGTTCACAAACAAAATTAAATTTGAATAATCAATCAAATGCTCGAGAATTATGTTTAATTTGTTTTGAAAATTTAGCTGATACACAATTATTACCTTGTCAATGTATATTATGTCATCAGTGTGCTACTGTGATCAAACGACCAAGTTTATTATCAGATTGTCCATTTGATAGAAAACATATAACACAAATTCGACCATTACCATAATATGATTTTGTTATTAATTAGACCAATTTAAAAAAAAATAGCAAAACTATTACTGATTGATTATTGAATATGGTTTTTAGTTACTTGCCTTGTTTTTCTTTGTCTTATAAATCTTTTGTTCTGCTGTCAGATTTCATTCATGTTTTTTAAATGAAATAATGGCTGTTGTGATAATTTACAAGACAGTACAAATATTTTTTTTCTCTTTCACAGAACAAAAAAAGCTTTACAAATATGTTCATTTTTCTTTTCGGTGAAAATATCCGTGTACTAAACATATATGAAAATTTATAATAAACTAGGATGTGTATGAAAGTATTTTTTTAGTCTACATCTTGAAGAAATATCGTGCAAGGGAACCCTGCTTCAGATGTTTCCTTTCGATTTTCATAATTTTTTTTTACTTATAAATAAAATAACTACAGTGATCTAATAAAAACTGGGGCTTTACTAAGATTTAACTAACTTATTGAATTATTGTTTAGAAGCTTCAGATTTGTAGAAAAACTCATATTTAGAAATTTGAGTCTAAAATTTTGTGCATATAGAGAACTCAAGTAGATTACGTTTCATAAAAAACATAAATTGTCAGATCTAAATGCGAAAATATGAGTTTTCTGAAAGCCTGTTGGCTAAAAAAAAACATCTCGATAGCTTACCTAAATATAAAAAGGAACTCAGATTTCTATTAGAATACTATGTAATATCTATAGAACAAAAAACTCATTGAAATCAGAAGGGGACAGTTGAAGAGGCTCTTTCATTAGTCATTAATCTGATGAATAATAAAATTTTTAGCTAATTACATGAATCAATATTGTCCATAGATTTTTAAGATTAAACATAAAATATGATCTTTGTTACGTAATTGAATTAATAGACATGCTAATGCGTATTTAATTCATTCGTGACAGGAAGAAATAATCAACGAGATTTTAGTCCTTCATTAATAATAGATGCAATGTGCTTGTGGTCCATGACATTCAATCTTTATTATCTATCATGAATAAAGTTCAAGCTTTATCTTTATACTATCAGAACGGTATTAGAATCTATATTATTATACAAAAAGAAGTTCGAAGAACTATTAATTAATATTATCATATTTTGAACTTCATGAGATTTACTACGATTCTCCTAAGAATGAAGTTCTGTTAATTGTGATGGAGAATATATGCTTGTTTAATGTGAAGGTTACGAAATGAAAATTATGTTTGTTACATTGACAAGTGCAAAACAACACATTCAATTTGTCAAAGCTGTGAATGTTAAAGAGGTCGAGACATCCCTGAATTTGACAGTCACTTGTCATCAGGCTTATCTTTCCACCAAAGATGAAGGCATTGTTGAAAGCACATGCATTCGAATAATACAACTTCTGTCAGTAGTTAATAAATTGACTTCTATTATATTAGAACCGACTTATTTCAAGAAGAATAGAAAATCATCAGAATTGTAGTAATATCTTGTCATGAACATCACATACGTATATAATAATATATATATAAAGGGTATTGTCGTACGAATATGACAGTATAGAAGCATTCAAAGCATCAAAATAAATAAATAAACACATCAAAAGATAATTTTTGTTCCCTAGCAATTATTATCGTTATCATGAATGCAATAAATATGTCACGTTTAGTGTACCTCAACTCAACTGGGTATATGACACCCGATCTAATCCGAAGTCTGAGTTTGGGTACGAACTCGCTAGGTGGTGTCGGATGTCGAATATGAAAAAAATTGTCGAGTCAAGCCCAATGATGATTTTATGTGCAAAACTAGACACAGCACCTAAGTACAATAAAAAAAAAAAAATTGATCATTATCTTATATTTTTCACACTGATTTTTTTAAAAATTATGGTTAAAAAGGTGAAAAAACTGTTCGAACATGCCTTCATCACAGACGATACTTGACAATAATTGATATATTTGAAAAAAAAAGACTTTTTGTTCGATATTTATGATGAATTATATAAGTATCTGTCCTAATACATGAGGAATAAAGTTCATTCGAAAGATAACAAGATAATGTCATGACGATAATAGATTTCATGTATGTATATATGTAAATCCATAATTATTATCTTTAACATAATGCTACTTTTAACTAGAGTGCTATGAGCGTCAAGAGGAAATACGCTTAGTAATACTAAGAAAATTTTAGAGTTTGAAAGACATAGCTCAAGAAATAAAGATATGGATGCGTTCATTTTCTTATACAATTTTAAAGAATCTCTATGTGTTTATTATGATATGAAGTGTACTGCAACTAGAAAACATTCATCGAGTGGGTGACGAGCACGTTGATCGGGCTCAAATATAAAATTTTTGGACCAGTTTAGAGTCGAGTATGAAACAAAAGTTGCCAAATCAGATATCTAGATACGAAAAGTTATACCCACACAGGATTCTAGTCGAGTTACAAGCATTTACTGATGTCACGGTTTCTTTTATTCAATCACTATATGAGTCTAGTGAAGTCATATATCGACGAGCAATATCTAATAGCTTAATTAGTTCATTTCGTTGAACATGTTTATCTTTATCAATCCAATATATATCCCTATTTCGATTTGTAATCTAATGTTCCTTCTCATTTGATACTACAATAGAAAGTCCCTTTAATGAACACCGTCGAGACTGTGGTAAAATGTTCATTGTAGAGAAGTATTCTTCTATGCAAGATCGCATAGATTTTACTGTGAAATGAAAGACAGTTTCAGAATATGAGCTTCTTTACTATTGTTGAAGTAACCAGAGACCAGTCTCTGAGTTATTCATCTTTATTCATTTAAATATTAATGAATACAAAAACTTCTCGCGAGAAAACAATACTTTGCTTAGTTTCTGAAAGTCCTGTATTGTTGCCTTAATTTTAATATATGTGAATTTGATAAATGTTGCTGTACAATGTATCCAGATATATAATCATCAAATTTTATTACGTCAAAAATTTTGAATTTTTGTTTAATATTTTGATTTAAATATTCTTTCTTTTTCAACTGATTCATGTTGTGACATAAGTTTTTCACCTTGTTATCATTGATTTATTAGATTTGTTCTTTAAATGTAAGATGATACTATGATATCATTGCCTTCTCTAGTATATATACATTTATAACAAACAATGGACAACAGTTTCCGAGCATTAACCAAAAATGATATACAGGATACAGTGATCAAAAGTACTTATGTGCTCATTTAAAGGAAGTTCAAATAGTAATCAGCATTTTAACAACAATATTCAAGTTCAGACTAGGAAGATGTTCACTAATACGAATTTCAGTACCCTAATGTATCTTGTTTTACTTCAAACACATATCATCATAGATTAAATCAATCTTACTCAATCTGTAATCAAGATAATAAAATAGCCTCAATTGATATTGATGTTAAACAGCTTATATCAATAACGGATTGTTTACAAGAATCATTCATTGATACCATTCCACTTTTGCCATTCAATATCAATGTCTAACACATCAGATAAATAACTTCAACATTTTTTTTTAATAAAAAATGATGGAAAATTTATTTTATTTTATTTCTTTTGTCTTGATCTTGTAAACAGTTATACTTAATAACAAAACAAGTAACAATATAAACTAAATTATGCAAGTCCTTTTTGTTCTCGCCATTGACTTATTGAATCTTTAATTAATGATTCTAATAGATCTGGTTTGTTAAAGATAAAATATTTATCCGTAGAATCAATAAATCGATGTTGAATACGATTACGAAATAGTTGCATACGTAGATATTCTTGTGATTCATCCCATATCTGGAATATATAAAATAAAAAATAAAAAATACAATCAAAAATTTTAAGACTAATACTTTATTTAAATCTTTTGACAGGCTTTTATCATACTGACGACGATTAACAATTGTTACAGATACATTCGAAGGAAAAGCTTTCATTCGCCATGCTAATCTATAAAAATATTGTTTTTTTTTTTTTCGTATTGATTTTAAGTTTAGTTAAACTGTTATCTTTTACTTCATTTGTGAAAATGTTTCATTCATATAAAAATGTTCTCGAATAGCTGAACTAATATGAGCTGCATTGCAAAGTAAATGTTTCTGAAATAAAAATTAAATGAAAAAACAATGAGTTTTTTTTAATATTCAAATTTAATCACTTGACGATGATTAATATTTAGGTTGTTATCATCTACATTATCAGATATTTTTGTAACCAATGGGGTATTAATCATATGTGTTAAAACAAGAATTCGATTGACACCAATGGCTGCTGATAGTTGCATAGCATGAAGGCGAGGAATTATTTTATTATACCTAACATAAAAATCTATTTTAGAATGAAAACAAATCAATAAAAAGATATATACCAATAATCTTTCCATTGTTCATTATCTAATAAAGTTTCAACTAATGGATCAACTAAAAATAAATGACTAACATCACTAAAAATCAAAAGAAAAACAACATTTTATATTTTTCTTACATTCAAGAATGCAAAAATTTATCTAATAAAATGAACTGTTATGAATACATTTCATTATTTTTAATGTTAATTGATTAAGAACATGAATTTTATGTATGCAACAATATCAATGCTTGGACTAGATCAAAAGTGTGGTGATCAAACAACTCGTCATAAATGTGTGAATGTGTGTGTAAGGACTTTTTGTGTGCTCTCATCCACACTGGATCTGCGACAACTACCAATTTTATAAGTCTATTCTTTTTCGAGAACTGAGCTCTTTTTAAATCTGCATTAATTGAAACTCATGAGTTTAGTTGAGCTGCCAGAGATGAGCTCAGTTCGTAGTTTTTTTTTAGTACCGAACTGATCCTATCTCTGTAGACTGCGATGAAATCTTACAGCTAAAAGTGTCTTGACCTAATTTTAGTCACATTTAATCTAGACTAGTCTGGACTAAAAACTAATATATAGCAATAAATAATATTAGTTTCATAGGCTCCATCATGCTTCTCAAAAATAATGATTCGAACTACGAGCCGGTTGTTTTTAAAATGACATGCTTGAGTAGATGAAGATAATATAATTTATTTCTACCTATAGAATTCTTTAAATGGCCCGTACAGTCCTGAACAGATTAGTTTCTTTCAAAAGAACTGCTGGAGTCGTTCTCAACATCGAAACAAATATGAAACCGTGGCAGATCTACTCCACACATACATCCTTACCCAGTCACTTTCGATGTTGCTTCGGGATACTTTATGGTTAATATGTCATGTGACGAATCGTCTGCAATGGTCTGTCCTAGCACTTAAAATTGATTAGACTTGACTGATGTACAATTATCAATTTTGAAAATAATGGTGGCCCAAAAGTAAAGAGATTCGGAATGTTTTTGATTGTTTCTTTCTACATAATCCGTTAGATCTCATATTTGCACCATATGTATTAAGTGATACTAGTAATGAATGTAGCATATGATCAGTCTCTTGATGCAGTCATTTATTCAAAAGTTTACAACTTACTACTCGTCTGTAATTGTATGATAAATCCGATGTTTCTCGACTTCTATTCAATTTTCATAGTTTTCTCTGCTGATCACGGTCTATAAAATGAATTCCGTTTCATAAATGGTGACCTCTTTTCCACTAAATTAGTATAAAATGTTATTAAATTGAATTCATGCAATAGATCGAGTTAAAAAAACAAAACTAAGGAAACCGAATGACGGTTGCAGAATATCGAGTTTCTCATGGAATTATAGACAAGCAGTAAGACAGATTTCCATGATTTTCGGTAAACTTTTGCAGCCAAAAACTAATGATATGCTATATTTTTCATTAAAAAAACCAAGTATGTGTAGTATAAATATGAGACCGAACTGACCGTATACAAAGGAAAAATTGAAAAAATTCTGTTTCCTTACTTTTGGACCGCTCTGTATTTACATAAATTAATAATTTGATTCTATTTTTGTCAAAACCAATTCCAATCAATGCCAAGCCCAAAACTAGGATCGGAATTGGTGCATCTTTTATCAAACCCATTCCATTGTTAGAAAGTGTTTGAATGAACACATGTGATTTATATTTATAATAGTTTTCTACTTTGCAATTCATTCTACCCCACATACATCTTGATAAATGACAATTATTATCTTTATTTTATTGCAGAATACGAATTGCAAGAGAACATGGATGTTTTGATTTCATTAAATTTGAATAGTCGACTTACAATTCATACATTTGAGCATAAAAGCGAGTTACAATAGCACCAAGATCAGCACCAACTAAAATAAATGGTTTTGGTTGTTGACTTGTTGCAGTTACAAGACGATTTAGATCTTCAGACATTCTTAAAAAAATAATGATTAAATATTCATCATTGAAATTTTCATATAAAAAATCAAACATTACTTTTCTACAGTGAAATCCATACCACGATGTTTTGTTGGTTTATTTTCTTTTTCATTTGTTTCTATATTGAAAAGTGCAATTATTAATTTGCTTCCATAGATTTTAATTGAAATATTACTTTGTTTAAGTGTCAAACTTACTGGTGGATCACTCATTCCTAATCCAGCTCGATCATAGATACAAACCTACACAGAATTTATTACAACGAAGGAAAAAAGTTATGACACATTTACTGTTGTTGTCTTCTTAAGACTTTCTTGAAGAGGAAGCCAAATATCCGAATTCATACCAGTTGGAGCATCAAAAATAACTATGAAAAACAAAATTTTTTCGCATATTTTTTTAAACGTACCTTCAAACATACACACCTGTTGGTGTACCGTGTCCTCGACAACGTAAAAACAATTTTTGCCCATAGCCAATATCATATGGTAAACCTGAAATAATCAATTATAAAAAGATATATTGAACATCGATTATCTACCGTGTTGTCCAAGTAAAGGTGCTTCACGTTTTAATGATGCATAATTAATCAATGGTGGTACAATAATAATAAATAATAATAATTGAATTAATTTCCATAATGTACGAATGCATGTTTTCAATAAATTTTTTAATGCAATAGAAACCATTGATAAATCTATATGAATAAAAACAGATTTATTTATTTTAATATGCAGATTTTCTTTCCCTTGTTTGCTCAATAATTTATATAAAGATACTAATAGTGACTACGACAAAAAAATAGTTCCATGAGTAACTTTATTTAATTTTAATACAAAGAAAAATAAAATGTATTTTGATTTTTCTGATTGTGATACTTAAAATTTTCTTGATTTTAGTATCACGTATCGATACATAATTAAAATTTAATTTATTTTAACAATTTAATGTTAGCACATTGTATTCGTCGACATATTGTTAGTTGTCTTTTTTTAAATTAGTCTGAATATTCATCATTATATATATCTAAAGAGAAGACAACCAACTTGAGATAGAAGAATTGAACTGATGGTTGTCCTTCATTCAATCAGACTTTTAGTCATAAGATAAACAAAAAAGTGAGGAAACAATGTATGTATGTATATATATATATATGTCTGAGATTATCTTATAAATAACAGACAAAAACAAAAAAAGACAAAGTTATACGTCATAAAATGAGAAGGTAGGACAATATCATACAAGCTAAGCGTTTGTATTTATATATACATCAAATGCGTCACAGTAAGGACAAATACGAAATGAAAACAATAAAATCAATGGTGTACACATATGTACACTCTTCAATCAAACAACAACAACAGCAAAAAGATAAAGCTCGAAAGAAATAAAAGAAAAAAGAAAAACACAAAATTTTAGGTTTATTCTTCATCCTCAGATTCAGTAGTGTTATCATCACAATTATCATCGTCATCATGTCGTTGTTCGAGATGATTCGTATTAACTGATGTTAATGTTTGATAAGTCTAGAGAAAGAAAAAACAAAATACTGTCTGACTAAATACTCTGAAATTCTTTCAATTTTTCTACCTGATGTTGCATATGTTGCTGTTGTTGTTGTTGTAAAACTTGAAATTGTTGCATTTGAACCTTAAAATAGATGATTATTTACATCAATGATAATATCAAATGAAATAAACACATATATACATGAGAGAAAAACGCCGAGATTCAATACTTACTTGTACATGATTGATTAGAGAAATAATATAAGGAAATTTGATTTTTTCTTTTTGTTTATCATGATTTTTTTCTATCTTTTTTTGGAATATTATGTACACACAAAACAAGAACAACAAACAAAAAATAATTGACAACAAAATCGTTTTGAAATAAATTAAAAAAAAAAAAAGAAAAGAATAAAAACCGGAAGAAAAAAAACAAATGCTGATGTTGCTGTATTCATTAATTATCGTTTCACAGTTTTATCTAGAAATTGATCTTATGTACATATACACAAGGTTTTTATCAGGTGTACAAGAGAAAAACAAACCAAAATGAACGAGATTCATCATTTACACAAGTGAATGGTAACAACAAACAAAAGGTCGTGTGTTCTTTTGTATACTCAGATTGGAATAGAAATAAAAATGTATATATGTGTTTTTTTATGGGCATACTACTTCTACTGTTCACTAATATCCTACATTGTTATGTGGCATTGATAATGAATAACCATTATAATGAGGAAAGAGTGATGATGTTAAGCCATTATCTTGAAAATTATTCATTTGACCGAAAGTCTAAAAAAAATACAAAAATACAAAAACAAAATCAATCGATTATTTTTTGTTACTATTTACTTGGGGTTGAAAAGATTGCATGGGATTAAATGATGGTAATTGGTATGACGGAGAAGAATACTGTTGTTGTTGTTGTTGTTGCTGCTGCTGCTAAATATAAGATGAAATTTAAATTGAAAAATATATATATATATATAATAGAAATCTACATCTTGATGTATTCTGACTTGTTGTTCCGAGTGATGTTGTTGTGTTATTGTCTGAGGTGATGAATTTGATTTTGAAGCTTTTTTATTTGCTAATTTGAATTCATTCATTTCCTAATAACCAAAAAAAAACAATTACTAAATGACATAAGCAATCAATCAATCTTAACTAACTTTTTCATATCTTTCTTTATCTCTTTGTGCTGCTTCTTCGTAAATTTGTTTTCCATCAGGTGCTGTATGATTCCATCGATCACCTAATTCTTTGGCTATTTCACCAACAGATAAACTAGGATTTAATGCTTTTAATTTTGGTCGTTCTTCTTTACAATAATGAAAAAATGCTGATCTAAACAAAAAAAAAATCAATTAATTATATCTAGTGTTTGGCAATAATTTTTTTTTTGTCTTTACAATGGTCGTTTTGGTGCAAGTGGATCTTTTTTCTTTTTTTTCGTACGCTTTTCACCAGGTTGATAAGCAGCCATTTCACGTTCAAATCGTTGTTTGTCAACTTCAGCTTGTGCAGCAAATTTTGCTTTATCACTTTCTGTCATTGTCTAAAATGTAAATGACAGAATCAAACAATTGAATAAAGAACATAAACTATTCGAAAAAAAATTATTTGCTTAATCTGATATTATTTTTTGTCTGTCCTTCATGAAAAGAGCACCAAAATAGTCAATAATTTGAATTTATTCTGATACATCAAATAGAAATATTAGTTTATAAGATCAGGGATATAACGAGAAGATTTAAATGTTCTTGTTTTTTTTTTATCAACGAAAAACTATTCAGAAGAGATAATTGGACAAAAAAATATTATATTAATAAATTCATTTTTATACATACTGACTAAAGGATTACGTATAATAATTTTAAATTGTTTCTTACCTTCCATTTTTCAGCACACTTTTTTGAAAATTCACTAAAATTAGCATTTTCATTTGGATATGCTTTTCGCTGTTCATCGCGACATTTTTGGACAAAAAATGTATATGCACTCATTCGACCTTTTGGTTTATGCATTTCTTTTGGTTGATGATGTTGATCACGATTTTGTGTTTGTGATGATGGAATCATATGATGAATTTGTTGTGGTAGTACTTGTTGCTGTATCAATTGTGATTGATGTTGTTGTGGATGATAGCTGAAAATAAAAGATTTTTCAAAAATACACATAAATTGTTCTTTTTCTACTTACTACATCGGTATTTGCGGTGTTTGTTGTTGTTGTTGTTGTGATGGTGGTACTGTCATTGATTGATAGTATAATGCAGAAGTCATTGTTATAGATATAAATAACACTGAATTACATGGAGATTTAATTGATCTATAAAGGAAGAACTTTTTTTTTAATATTTATCAACACTATCATTCTTTTTCTCAATGGCAATATGTACATGAAAAAGAAGTTTTTCGGAAAACGGAATAAATTCTTATCGTCTTCTTTTTCGTGTATACATGTGGTAATGATGATGATGAGACATACGTTACACATGTGTATTAAAGAAGAAAAAAAATACACTAGACAACACGCGCAGACCCATACGTACGTATTTGAAAAAAAAAGCATAAGTTTGATAGAAAAAGAAAAAAACCGGCATCTTGAGTGATGGCATAGTAATGTATGTAAACGAAAGGTCTCCTTCTTTCTTTCTTTTTTCCTGCCTGTCTTTTTCTAATCGTTCTTCTTTCTCTCTGCGTTAGCTTCGACTACATCAATGTATATAATTATTTCTTGTTTCGTTCGTAAAAGCAAAAGAGAAAAGAGGGAGAAAAGAGAGATTGTTCTGTTCCTAGCAATCGGAGAATATGCCCTCTTTTTCTTTCTTTTTTTCTTCTTTTTTTTTGGCTCGTTCGAGAACAGAACAGAAAAAGAAAAAAACTCAATTAATCGAGGGCATATATAAGTTTGAAAAGTTTGCCGGACATGTTCGCCAAGGGTCAAGTAAAGAAAAAGAGAGAGAGAACGAAGAATAAATAAATGTGAATGACCATGATGATTTATCGCCTATTGATTTCGGGTCAACTATGAAAATAATTTTTTTTTTAAATATTCTTTTCGAATGAAAAAGAAAAGAAATTTAACAACGAATGACAATAATAATGATGAACAACGACAATCGAGTGTCAACTATAATTCTCTTTTTTTTTTTTCAACATTTTTAACATTCTAATAAAATGAATAAATGTCATTAATAACTAGAAAGGTTATGTGAAATGTAAACAATGGGAAAATCAGAAGCAGAGGCAAACGAGTGTATATTGATATATCATATATATGTATTTTTTTTTTTGTTGGCCCAACTGATAATGACAGCTACTTGACAAATCATTATCGAGTCTTTCATCGTACGTGTGTTCGCTCATTCAAAATCAATTAGTAAAAGACAATTTATATGCGAACCTCATACATTCAAGTATTCGACACGAGCAATTATGCATCGACAAAAGAATGTCAAGTGATTCGATGAACAGATAGATAAAATAAAAAGAACAAGACACAACACAATTCTCAATCTTGATAACAGAGAAAAATATACAGGTTTTTACTCGATCAATATTTGAAAATCTTATTGTTCAACAAATAATATGAAAAAATTTCGAAAATTAAAAACAAAAAGTTCATTATTTTCTTTTTGTTTTCTATTATATCATTGATCAAATACCATCACCAATCAAATACAAAACAGAATGCATAACGATGATAGTAATTATATTTTTTTATTGACTGATTTCATTTTTCTTCTTTTTAAAAATGAAAATAAATAATACACATGATAAAATCAAAGGACTTTTTTTTTCTCAACAAGAAAATAGCACTTGTTGATAATAACAGCAATATATTCTATGAATTGAAAACATTATTTGTAATTTTTAATACATTTTTTTTGGTAATAATGAAAAATCAATTTCATAATTGTAAAAGAGAAAACGAATAGGCACAATCGATATATTTAAATTATTTATGTATTAATGATGACGCGAAGATTGTCAATGATCGTTATCAAGACAATATGATTCATGAGCTGATATTACTCATGTTGATCGAGTAAAAAAAAACAGCCTTTTCTTGTTGAATAAAATTCCTATTTAATTATTTATTTTTCTGCGTTATGATTTGTCTGCTCATCGGAAAGATAAATAATTGAAAGAAACGATTTATATTATCAAAAAGTCATTTCACCTGAGCGTCTGCATTATTTTGTTAGCGATCAAAATATGGACGGCGCAAGGTCAATTTTTTTTAGAAGACGTAATAGAGTTTTCAATAGGTCTTTTTTGTTTTTTTTCTTCCGACAATGGACATTCCAATAGCAAAGCGTTTGCCATTTGAATGTAATTTTTCTTGGAGGCATGATTTTTGAAAGCTTAACTATTGTATCATGTGACAGTACATAACGAGCTTCAAATTAGTGTAACATTTTTTACCAAAGCAAAATATTATTCAAAATGATTTTGAAAAAATGAAGTCTTTTTGTCATTACATTCGATTTGATAGCTATTGCCTTCTTGTACAAGTATTTATGTAAAGAGTTGTCGGTAATTTGAACAATCAAAATCACTAACTATTTCAATAAACAAAATCATAAGACTATAGATCAATTTTTCTACATGAACTACAGAGTTGCATTGGACATGCATATGTGTTGAATGAAGTAATCATACTTTAGAATAAGCACGAAGCACGAAAAATTCGGGGAAGCAATAAGTTCCTTGTGCTTCCCTAAACTCTTTTTTGAGAAAAGCAATTGTTACTCTTTGTAGTGCTAGTATATCAGTTCTGTGTAATATTTATTTTTGGCTATTGTTCATTTCTAGTGGAAGAAATATAGGCCATATTTTAAGAAGAAAAAAAGTAAATGAACCCAAAAATTTTATTATATTGATCGTTGTTTTTTTATTCAATCTGTTAAATCTTTAAATCATAATAATAATATTAACAATCATACGATCTGATTGCTCTTACACATAGTATTGATACTGCTATAAAAAAGGCATAAAATATTTCTTTATTACTTTCATCAAGCGATTCTTGATATTTTATTTAACATTCAACAGATGCATTATGATGAATTATTTAATTTTTCTAAAATTATTTAATTTGTCATAATTGATTAAAAATTACTTTTGTTTAATCATTTTTAGATGGAAGAACACCAGATATACAAAAAAAAAGTATCAATGTAGAGATTATGAATGAGATAATTACGTGAAATATAAAGTTTTAATTTATAACAATTGAAGATTTAACTTATTTGAAGCTATAAAATGATTTATACAATCAATTAACAAAAACGGTTGAAAAACAGACGGCAAGAGAGAATCGAGAAGTATTAAAAGTGCTAGTGTAGAAAACGAAAAATGCCGACGCAAAAATACAATCAAATAGAATCGAATGATAATGATGATGATGAGAACGTTAAAAAATTAATCTATGATGAAGTAGGGCAAATGTTTAATCTTCTATATGATTTATTTATTTGGTTTATTAAAAGCGACTACACTGAGCTCATCAAAAGTACACCTTTATTCTAGAACTTCGTCAATCATTGTTTGATGAAACATGTAGGATTTCGCAAATTGAACAAGATAAAGATTTAAAAGAAAATCTCTTTATAGTACATTTTCTTTTGACTTTCTTTTGTTTCTAAAACAAACGATTGTATTTGGACAAGATTTCAGCTCAGTAAGTCTATGGGTGTGAGAAAAAAGAAACCACAAAATCTTGTTCACATCTTACATTTTTGCTTTTTCTTTCCCTAAACGATCAATCTGAAAGAGCTGCGACTTTTTCTGTAATAAATAAGATCAAATAGAAAAAGATTCAAAAATCAAGCTGCTTTGAGAATTCTCTTACTATTGCAATTCTTCTAATACAAGAGAATAATTACTGAGAAAGGAAAGAACAACGACTCAATTTAATTTTCGCTGTCGAGATAAAAGCTTCAGCTGAGTCGGATGAATTTTTGAATGATGGTAGAAAGGATGCTTAGGATTATTTCTCCATTATTCGTTTGAAAAAACAAAAACTAGTGATTGTTTTTTGAATAGCTTTTGATACGAGTGACGGAGAGAGTGAGCTGGATTTTTCACCGTCCAAGAGAGAAAACTTGCCGTCATTGAAGTAATGCAAATCTAATTGGTCAGTAATGTATTCATTGGATCAATTCTTAGTGAAGATTTTGAAAAAAGAGACTTCAAGTCATTTTCTATTAGATTTTGAAGTGTTACGTAGCCAATCGATAGAAAAAAGTTATCGCTTTCGATCTATGTAAACAACCACCTATTAGCCACTTTCCTTTAAAAGTTACTAAGGTTTCTTTGAGACCTTCAATTTCAACAAAATGATCTTGAAATGCTTCAAAAGGGCTCCAGCCATAAGTCATTGATTATGCTGAATTGAGTGGTAATGTTTGTTGTCACGTTGAAAGTGACCTGAGACCACTAATCCAGTATTTTTGAAATTTCAAAAATTTTTTCTGTACAGCATAAAAGTCAAACGTTTGAAGATGTGCAAATAGTGCTCTCAACTTACTTAGAAACTCGAAACAAACATTACCAAATGGCTCAACTTGATGAATTATGCCTGTTTGGAACTCTTTTGAAGTGTCTTTCAAGCTTATTTTGCTGAAATCGGGGTGAGATCTCAGAGAAGTCCTTATAACTCTTGAACCAAAACAGCTAATGAGTTGAAGTTTACGCAAGTCAAAAGACAAGACTTTCTCTACCAATAAGTCATATTACACATGACAACTTAATGGAAAATGATTTTAAGCTCTCATTTCTGATATGCTCTGTAAAAATTCATCTGATGGATTAATCACTTAACAGACAGATTTCGATGTTCGTCAATTATCTCGGTTGTTCACTCTTGAATAGTGAGAACCTTAGCTCTCTTCGTCATTCCTATTACAAATCTATTCAAAACACAACTACCAACATTCTTTTTTGAAATGGATAAGGGTACTTGTGACTCCGATATTTCCTAGAGAAGCCATGTTGGGGTTTTGAATTTATGGCGACTTTTGCTCAATTAATTAAGATTTATCGAATGTGTCAAAATATTTGAAAACGGGAACGCATTCTTAAAATGTATGCTATTAGTTCGAGACAAATACTACGAAAGCATGTATCAGACTGACTTGCCATGAACTTACGTGTGTAGCATTCGGGAAATTCACTTCCTTTGGAAAACTATATATTTGTCATTTTGTCAGATATGATCAACAGATCTAACAGAATCTTTTTTCTGCGATCGGTGCACTCACTTTTACAGTGGA